GGGGGAGTGGCCCTGGGATGGGAGAGGAGGGAGACGGAGCACGTGCTTTACGTGAGCTGCTGGGGGAGCTCCTGGTGGGCTTCTGTCCCACCTTTCCTGAGCCAGGTGATGAGATGAGCTCAGGGCAGCCCTGCGCCCTGGCTGGAAGGGGAGAGATGCTTTGTTCTGTTCAAAACTGGGGGCTAGTATTGGCGGTGCTAATATCCCAGAGACGGCCTGCGGGGCAGCCCTCAGCCTGTGCCAGGGGACGGACATTTCTGATGAAATCCGGGCTGTCAGGAGAGCAAGGCACACATCTCATTCTTTAGCTGGCACCGCTTGGCCTTCTCCGGGGGAGATTATGTAAAAACCAAAACCAAAAGCAAAACCGAAAGCATTTCTCAAGTCCTTTCTCCTGACGGCAAAACTGCTTTCAACCAAAAGCCAGCCTCGGCATTCTGCAGGGAGGCCTTTCAGACAGACCTGGGCGTGGTGGGCAGCCAGCGGCCCCGCACAAAGGGTGAGGGGCTCCGAGCCGTGTTGCCTGGGTTCGCATCCAGGTTATTTAACTGCCCTGTGCCTCTGTTTCCTCATCTGTAAAATGGGAATAGTAATAAAGTTGTTGTGAGGAGTAAATGAATGGATTCATGAAAGAACACTTAGAACGGGGCCTGCCTCCACCTGACATTTGTCAAGCGCTCACTGTGGCTGCTATTAACTTGGGAGAAAGTAGCCGCACTGTTTCCTGGATCCCCCCCTTTGCCTCACCAGCTTCCTTACCTGCAAGATGGTGGTGATAGTAGTTATGGAGTTGAGGAGATAATGGTCTGAAGGTGCTCAGGAGTCTGCCTGGCACAGGGGTACCCTCACTAAATCTGAGATAACTGATTGTTACTGCCGGGGAACCAGGGTCAGGTGTCCTTGGGGAGCCTTGAATTCCTGGGGATCCTGCTACAACGTAGATTCTGATTCAGATGCTAATGGTGCTGGTGCCCTGACCACATGGACTAGGGAGAGCCCAGAGGTTTTCCTTCCTATTCCTCCCAGGGCAGGACCTGGGAGGGGAAGAGGAAGGGGGGGGGGGC